GTGCTTAAACTAAAATTTAAGGATTGGAGGAATTCTTGGCTTAAAGTTAAAAGGACAGATTTTCACACACACACACACACACACACACACTCACACTCACACTCTCACACACACTCACACACACTCACACACACACACACACACACACACACACACACACACACACACATTATCGAGCCAACTTTAAACCCATAATATGACCCCCATAAACACTTGTTATCTACATTCTGAGGGAAATTGTGGGTTTCCCCAAATAGCAGATAGTGTGCGAGTTATTGTAATATGACTTAACCCTTCCAAACTTATCGGTCATCTTGTTGATAGTTTTTTCTTTAGTTATTGAAGTTTCCTGGTAAGAGTAGCTGACGGATTTTAAGTTAGATAGTAAATTAAGATTGTACCAGGTGTGTTTATAGTCAAAATAGCCCGATTCTTAACTTTACAAGCAGCCGAGTCGCGTCATGTTTTTTTTTGAGTGAAAGTAAATGACCACGAGCGTGCGTGTGAAAGAGAAAGAGGTTTATACGAGCCACTTAAAGAGAGAAAGGGAGAGGGGGATGTTAATATCAGTTCGATTGATCTTCATTATACAGTACCCATCCGACCCAACAATAGTTCCTAAGAAAGAAGAAAACCAAAAATACTAGAGTAAGGCAACAATGCTCTGGTGTGGTGCTGGTAAGTGACAGGTTTGGCTTGGAGTGGCGGACAAGTGCAGGTAGAGCAGGTTTGGCTGGCACACCGATCCAGGCGTCGTGTACTTGTATCTGGGAAACTTGAGGGCAGGCTAGCAGTGGTCGCACTGCTAATTGGCTGTATATTGGAGAGCTAGGGTAGTAAAACATTCCCGGTAATAGTGTTTGGTTTGTGGGCACTCGGATGAACAGTGTCGGCACTCGCTTTATATCCTGGGCTGGAAGTTCGTGCCACAGTTTTGCAGATACAGTTGTATTTTGCGTGTTGATGTAAATAAGCTTTCCCTCATGTCGACTCGTGTATTATTTCTATCTTAAACTCTCTTTAAAAGTCGTCGCCTAGCGTCAAAATCCTCACTGCGGCGTTAACTTGGCAATAGTTCAACATTGGTTTGGCAGGTCATCTTGTTTATGTCGTGTCAGAGCCACACTTGTCTCACGTGAGCGTGTTGTGGGTGGCGGTATTCTCACTTTGTACACTTTGTTGGCTTCTGGTTAATTCCCGACCGTGAAGGAAGTATTTTCTGTAGTTATTTTGTTCTCGTACTGTACTTAGCGAGGTGTTCATTTTTATTGGCATCCCTTCTTGTTGCAGTAGCCAGTGTAAGGGAGATCACCAGAAGATTAGGCCCCTAGCTTATTTGGCCTAAGATTAACCTCCTTTCCGCTAACCTAACCTTCGGGTGATTCTACTTTTGTTTCGTGTGTGGGTTCCACTGTTTATCATTAACACAGTGCAAGAGGTTTAAAAGTTATACAGTTTTCAAGGTCAAGGTGACAGTGAAAGGTAATATTTTGCAAGAAACGATTGCTTGTCAGGGTGGGTGTTGCAGTCTTTGTGCTCTTATATAATAATATTGTATATATTGTCTGACTTTTTTGGTTTTCATATCAGATTGTTAACAATTGAGCTAAAGAAGAGCAATAATTTTTAATACTTTTAATATGACAAATATAATTTGAAAACTTGGGAAGACATTCCTACTAATTTTCAGTCAAGGAAATTATTAAAGTATACTGTCAGTGGTGGGGCGGCCGTGTTGCCAGTTAGTAGAATGCGTTCAGACAGATCTAGTTGCGACACTTCACAACGAATCTAGTGCAGTGGATGTTACCGAGGTCAGACGGTAAACTTTTAGGTGTGTTCCAGCACACGATAAGGATCGATCTATCCAAGCGATTAGATTTTAAAGATTTTAAATTATTGTAGATGTGGACAAAAAAATGTCCCTGCCACCTCTGGCTGACCCCCTGAGAAGTTTCGTAAAGGGAATAAGGCATTGGCGGGGCGATGGGCGTGTGCCAAGACGTTGCGATATTGTGAGCGGTTTTAGCAGTGGTCACGTGTTAATGCCATACCCCCTGCACGTGGAAGCACACCCCCACTTCTCACGTGTCTTGGCCTGGTCGTCACCACTTTTGGGTATGAGGACTTTTTGGAACTGTGTTTTGTTTACAAAGCTCACTTTTATGTCTGAAGAGCTTTCAGAATTGAAATAGGTTGAGGGTGTTTCTACAGAATTTTCCTGTTTTCTGGGTCGCTGATTCAGTCCCAAGGCACTCCCAGCTGTAAATAAAATACATTGGGGGGTGAAGGCGGTAGAGTACAGCGACGGCCACGTTGTCTCCTGCTGTACGCTATAATCACACTACTTAACTGACAGTAATGTCTATGGACCTCACTTTCGTCTTCGGTAAAAATCAGGAGTCATTGAAACAACGAAGGTAAATTCTTTAAAATTTCCTTCTATTTATGTCCTGGGAATTTATAGAATTAATATTTTTGGTTGTTTATATGTGCTGATGTAACTAAGGATAATTTGGTTTGTGCTTTTAAGAACTGCTCAGTACCGAGTGTTGTAAAGGCCAACGTAACTCACCATAACTTAAGTACTGTACTTCCCGGTAGTACAGACAGGAATTACACCCCAGTATATTTTACCAACGAATTTTAACATTATACCTTCGTTTTCTTTTAATTTAGCTGAAGATCTCCAAAGTAGTAAAGGTAAATAAAATGAGTGAATAAGAATGATAAATATATTGCCCATGACATAAACTTTGTCTTGTTAATGATCGGGTTCACTTACCGTACATTCATTTGCAGTACAGTACTATAGTGTTTAGGGTGCACGGGAAGCCCTCTCACAGCTGTTTCTCAAATGTCGGCGATGTGTTTGTTATAACACCGGCAAATTGATCAGATATACGACACCCAAGGTTCACAGGTTAGCCAGCCGTATAGGTATACTGTAATGCCCCGCGACTTGTACCTATCGGCTTACCTGTTGTTTTTTCTGGTGCAGGAAGTGACTAATTTTTTACACACACATTTTTACCCCTAACTTGGAGACACCGCGCCTTCGAGTTCAGTTTTAATTTTCTTAAGGTTTTGAAGTGTGAAGATGACACGGTGTAATTAACCTTTGAAATAAAGAGCAGTCTCATTGTTCCCACGTAGAACAGAGGGTGGAAGATACTGATGCTCCGTGACCTTGAAGTGTTACAAGGCTAGGCACGTGTACTGTCCGTGCTACTGCTGGTAGTGTTCCCCAGTACCTTCAACGGATGTGATTGTAGAGGTCTACTTTTCCTCGTTTTCGTAAAGTTCCTGTACAATGAATGACATGTTCGTGAGATTTGAATGCTTATATCCACTTGTGCTAGCGGTTATGGTAGTGCTTTAAAATCTAGATTCGAATTTCATTAACAACTTAATAAAGCAATTTTAGGGATATTATTTACCAACAAATTTAGCGTTGTTGATCCCTGACTTGCGAGGTTATGTACGGCATTAGAACATATACAGTTCACAGTGGACACCCTTAAGGTTATTCGTAGCGTTTAATTCCTATGACCGTTTCATGTAGGAATATGATTTTTGTCCACTATTGTATCTGATTTTAAGGATGAGTTAGCAATATTTATATCGTTTTAAAAAGTTATTTAATCAGAGACTCGAGTTAAATGCACTGATGTTTTATTGTTTAGCAGTAAGAAATAGCTGAATTATTAATTTGAAGTAGTCATGTGTTCATTTTTGGGGGAGCCTACTGTAAGTGACCATGTGATGACTGCTTAGATGAGGCTACTCCACCGTCACACTGCAGTACCTAACCCGTACCCAACTTTCCCTCCCCTCTCTTAATACATTACCTTTGCTGCCCACAATAACAGTTTTTGCCGAATTAACAACGATAGTGGTTCTTTCCTGAGTACAATGATAATGTAAAATCCATTATATGATAACGGTAACATTATTATTATTATAGTGCACTCTTAGTTTCAATCGAAATTGCCGAAATTCAAGAGAGTATTAACATTTACGGATGTGTATATTATTTGTGTGTTATGTTTCGCTGTATTGTATGTGGAGGCTCCCAGCTGAATTAAGGTCAAATCTTTGTTCTGTATCGATGCAGATATTTCAGAAAGGTTGCACGAGGACGTGTCATCTCAAGAAAGTGTGGATTAATTGAAGTTTGTCAGAGGTCAGGGTCACAGGAAGACTAAACCTTTTACTGGAGCATAACATTTGAATTGATTACATAACCTTGCCAAACGTGACCCGACCCGGCCTAACCTAACCTGATCATGGAACTAAAAAGGATAAGCCATATAAAACAGACGATCGTCCAGGTGGAAATTGCAGCAGATATTTTGATAACTGTTCCCGGGTGTCTGAAGTCAGTATGCCTTGCCATTTGTTCTCACCCTGTGGGTTGGCATTGGGAAGGACATCCAGCAGTAAAACTTGGTTTCAACGTCCATGATGGCTTCCAAGTTACCAAAGCTGTACTGTACTGTATTCCCTGGTCTCTGCTGTAATTTCTAAGCTGGTATAACACCTGTTTGATGGTAGTGAGGGAGGGGGTATCCCATTATGATTTCACCCAACAGCTGCCATCAGGGTGATGTTTGAAAATATAGAACACCAAATTCCAATGCCTGTTGAAGGTCTTTACTGATGATAGTTAAATATCTTCAAGATTGCCTTGTTGCAAGGAGTGTCATAGTAGCTCTTGGGTCAATGAAGATATTTTTATTACAGTAAACTGGACGTGATTATCTTCAATACGTAGATGTAATGTAAACAACAATTTATCAATAACGGTATTTATTATAACTAGACAAAGTCTGTTCCACAATACGGTACAGGTATTTTTATAATTTGTTATATGTCCCCTTTTTCAAATTTGCTGTACAATGAGGGCAGTCATGTTATCACACATTTCATATTTTATTGATCTTCAATTTGAATCTTTATTGTTTTCTCTGTGTAACGACAGCTAATCTTCTTTGCAGGGACTTTTCCCATTGACACGACCAAAACTCGGCTCCAGATTCAAGGTGGACGAAGTGATGCCGGGGAGGTGATCACAAAACGCTACCGGGGAATGCTCCATGCACTCCTTAAGATATCCCACGAGGAAGGAATTAGGGCTCTCTATTTTGGGTGAGTGGCAGATTGAAGTTTTTATTTTATTTTTATCACAACATATATACAGTATACTGTCGTCTGGTTTTACGCGGTTAATTAAACCCATGGAGGTCTGCGTATAAAGTGAAACGCGTAAATAAAATAACAACCTATGGGATTAATTGAAATAGTGACTGGGCTTGGCGCTGCTTGGGCCAGGTAGTTCAGGGCCTCTCGGGGGTGGTGGGGGTCCAGCGGAAGCCATTGTGTAGAAAGAAAAATAAAGCACTGGTTCCTGGGCACGATTGAATAAACGCAGAGACAGTGAGACTGACGCTGTGAAGAGCGGGGCTGGCAAGGATGCTTAGACCAATCACAGTGCCCGACGGAGGGGGTGTGTGGGTGGTAAGGATACATGGCCCAATCACAGTCTGCGACGTCACTGGCGTGAGTCTGACGTCAGCGTCCAGCACCTCGCCCTGCTGCTTGCCTCGTACATGATGGAATTCACTGTGTAAATAATAATTATCTCTTCTGACCGGTGCTGCGTAAATGGCCTTCTCCATAAAAAAAATATCCGCGTAAAACCAGACTACATACTGTACAGTGGTCCCTCGGTTAACGAGCACAATCCATTCTAGAAGGTTGCTCGTTAACCGAAAAACTCGTTAACCGAAACCATTGTTTCAATGGGTTTTGGGGTAATTGGTTCCAGCTCACCGAAAATTGCCTAAATTCAACAAAAAAGGTAGAAAAGTACACTTACTTTGAGGTGTGTATGTAGAAGGCTCCTGGATGATGATGATGGGAATTAGAATGGGGGTGGAGGAGAAGAGAAGACATTGGGGTGGAAGAGAGGTCACCCCAAGGTGCCATTTCACCCATAAAATTTTAATTCTCTTGGTGTAATTCAAGATTATGTTCTTTAAATCAACACTGCACTGCATTATATATTGTCAATGTGTAAAATAAATTTCAAAATGACCAATAATTTGTTTGCAAACACAGAAAAAAGCATTTAGTTGAAGAGTCTCAAGCAAGATGTTACCTCCACTGAAAAGACACAAAGACTGACGCCTGTATGGTGTGTTGGCAGGCTGGATGGCATGTTCATTAATTGTTAAAATTACTAAAAAATTTAATATTAAACTTTTAAAATTATTGAATAGTATAAACTTCCTGATATTTACTAAAATGGTAAGGAATTTAAGCCCTAGAACCGATCACTGTACTGGCGGACTAATACTACAGCTGGTGGACCGCCAAATGCAAGCGAAAACATGTACAGGTCAGCTCGTAAGAAACTCGTTAATCGAGGGATTGCTCGTTAACCGAAGTTAAGAATCTTATGGAAGGTAACTCATTAACCGAAATCTCGTTAACCGAGGGACCACTGTACAAGTGTATAGAGCAGGTGGTAGATGACCAAGACAGTAAATGCATATTTTTGGAGCCAGTAGCACCTAATGATAATGTATAGGGTAACGGTACAGTACATTGATGTTTTGGTTTATTGCTGTTTTGGCAAAAAGAAGATCAGGAAACTCTCTTTAGATAGATGGAAAAGTTTTCTAGGGTGGTAACTAAACTGTAAAATTTATTTTAAGGACTCGTGAGATACAGTGCATCAGGATTTCATTTTTCACAAGAATTATATTTATAAAAAAATTATGTTCTATGTTCTTTTTACAGAATTGCACCAGCAGTGCTACGTCAAGCAACATATGGAACTATCAAGTTTGGTATTTACTATTCGCTCAAACAGATGCTAGTGAATAATCCCAATGAAGAAAGACTCGGCATCAATGTATTCTGTGCAGTCACAGCAGGTAAATTTTAGGAAGTTCTTTTGAGAAACATTGCAATTTGGTTATACCCTGTATATAAAAATAATGTAAACATGATTGCATGAAAAGTCCCACAAAAAAGCATCATTAGATTTTCCATCGCTACAATTTGAAACACTAGAGTGACTAGACAGTCATTAGACAAAGTACATCATCATATGTTGGTACACCTGCTTGCCATATCAGCAACGGAGTAGGATTGGGAGAGGGAGTCGTCTTTGTGTGGCATATTAAATACTTCAGTACTGTATAGCATGAAATCCATTGTCGTGCTGAGTAGAAGCAAGGCATATGTAAACAAGCCACTAACTGATGATTACAGTAACACTGAAATATACATTAATTGGAAGTGTTTCAGAACATTATAACCGAAACTGAGGCAGACCTCAAAACTGACATTTCATCATTCTTTCATTGTAGTAATGAAGTTTCATTTATACAGGGTTTCACAATATGCCTAATCATGTTGTTCACGATATGTCTGATTTATGGAGAGAGAAGAAGCAAATAGTACTTGATGTTAGAGTGAACAGCTGCAGCAATATACAATATATTGGTCTACATAGGATCTACCATGTTACAGTACTGATAGGCAAATTGCATTGGTTTAACACTGAAATAAGGTTTCATATCAAGGGACTTAAAGAAACAGAGCCCCCCACCCCCCCCCAATTGTAAGACATTTGTGGCTATTTTGAAGGCATGTTCACTTGATATTAGGAAATATTCTGAGTTCAATAGTAATTACTTTTTACTTTGCAAAAAGTTTGAGTATTGGAATTTTCTGATGAAAAGGGGGGTCTGGACCCTCAGGATCACCCCCCCCCCTTGGATCTGCTCCTGCTAACCCATCATGATGCTCTGGGTTCGCTCATCTCATTTCACTGTGGCATCTCAGCGTTACGTATAGTCGTATACCCTCATTGTGAAGGGCAATGATAGCACCTTTCACATCTTGCGATGTCTCCCTGATAATTCCTCGCTCCAGCCAATGTAAGATCCTTTGATGACTGGCAGGGCATTGGTGTCCATTTATGACATCCACTCTAATTTGTGTAATATATGATCTGAAGCCTCAGGAGATTCACATTGTTCGAAAATGTATATACTGTACTCGTTCATGCTCAAAGGTCACGGATGTAGAACTACCAACCGTTCAGAAACAGGTTGAGTAATAATGCTCGGAAAGACTCCAATCACATCAAACCTATGGCTAACAATACTTTTTTTTTAGAGACTATACATGACTACAGGAAGGACCCGAGTCCCTTTATTGCCAAGGTTTCTGGATTGTGATCATATCCATGTGTCTCTCTCTCTCTCTCTCTCTCTCTCTCTCTTCAACATGGAGTGTGTCAGTTCATTTATTATAGTGCTTGCTTCCTGTTCTAAGGGTCACTGGTTCATGCCTGGTAGGGAAATGGAGTTAGTCTACAAGTAATGTTTTTTTCATGGGTCATGAATCCACATTAATTACAATGCTGTACTCAAATTTGACAATTTGGAACCCAGCATATTGAGAGTATCTTTGTAGGTAAAATCTTACCATCTAGTACATTATAGTCTGCATTTACGCGGTCAATTGAACCCGTGGAGGCCCATGTAAAACGAGAAACGCGTAAATGAAATAACAGAACATATGGGATTAATTGAAATAGAGACTGGGCCGACCCCCAAACTCCATTTTTTTCGACACAATGCGTACGTTGTAGTAAAAATAACATCTTAATTTTATGATGATATTCACACACAATTAATAATTAAGAGAAATATCAATAATATTAGGTTTTTTAACTCTTACGTTAGAAGAAAAGATGGGTCGGCACACGTGGATGGCGGCTGGTTCCAAGGCAGAGGGCAGATTAGTTGCCCTCCGGTGAATCACTTTCACTACTCGCAGAGGATTGCAGGGCCTCCCAGACAAACCCCTCAAAGTCCATATCCTCACTGTCAATATCACTATCACTGACTTGGGCTGGCTGTGGTTGTGGTGGGTTGCGGGCGAGGAAGTCCTCAATACTACGTTGACGACTAGCATTGATGTTGTCGAGATAGATCTGGATATACGGCTCCATAACTTTCGTCAGATGGTTATTAGACGCTTCATACCAATGCTTGTCTGGGTCGTTGTCAAGGATGAGCTTAATTTTCTCCCCCAACTCGATGATTTCCTTCGCATTATCATGGCTTGGTCCAGGAAATTCAATGTTTTTCTCTGGTGGTGGGGGTCCCGCAGAAGCCGTTGTGAGGGGAATTGCGGGCACGAGAGAGAACTGTATATGCGGACTGAGAAGAATGAGACAGGCCCTGCTAGGTCAGCGACTTATACCCTCTGGTGGCAGAGCACGTCATGTTACATTAGACCAATCACAGTTAGCGGCGGAGGGAGGTAAGGATGCGTGGCCCAATCACAGTCCGATACGTCATATGACGTCAGCGATAACGTAAGAGCGGCCTAATGCGCACCACTCTTTGCTCTGCTTTCCTCGTATGGTCAAGAATGAACCGCGTGGGTAAAAAAATGGCACGGCGGTCTGGACCTCTCCAGCTGCTCGCCGCGTAAATGACCAAATTTACCACTTAATTAAAGCATTTTCATTCTGGCAAGGCACCGCGTAAATGACCGAACACATAAACAAAAACCGCGTAAATGCAGACTATACTGTAATAGATTTTTATATTTGTTTATTATTATGCCCCGTGGCCCTGTACGAGTACAGTATGTGGAATACAATGTTTACATAATCATCAGGAGTGGTGGCAAGTTCCATGGCCAACCCTACAGACGTGCTTAAGGTGCGATTACAAAGTGGACGTGCAGAATTCAAGGAGAAGAGTCTTCCTCAAGCATTCCTCAGCATATATAACCAGGAGGGCATACAGGGTTTATGGAGGGTAGGTCTTCCATTATGAAAGTGATAATGTCTGTAAATTGCTAGATACACTTAAGCTACCACTAATTACATGAGTATTGAGAGGAAGAATAATTTCATGATGTAATACAGCATGGACAAATAGGCTAATTGTAGTCACAGGTTCTGTATAACGTATAATTTGTCTATCTTCAGGGAGTGTGTCCTACAGCTCAGAGAGCAGGTGTGATTGTGGGTGTAGAATTGCCAATATATGATATGTGCAAACACTATTTTATAAAGATGAATGTGCTACCCGACAATGCAACAAACCATTTCTTGTAAGTTATTTTGCGAGTTCTGTACTTTTGTTTGGTGTGTTTTAACTGAGGGCAGTCTTGTAATTTAGAATAAACTTGAGATCTGGGAAGTACATTGGAATCATATGGACATCGGTAACCTATCTTTTGATGTAGAATGAAAAGGGCATTCCACTACAGTATAGTATTATGATGAATATTCTAATATTTTCCCGGTGAGGAAAAGGACAAGCTTCCTTAAAATTAAATTGCCTCTCCATTATATCTAATAGTCTTTTTAACACACTAGTCCTGATGATGGCTATTTGTAGCTCATACAGGTACTGTATTTGCATATATTTACTGTTACAGTATTTCATATCCTTTTTGTCCCCTTTACTAATATTGGTTTGTGGCGTAAAGAACCATTTCTAACACAAATTTCAACTTGTTTGTTTAATATTTCTCGTCCTTTCTATAAAATTCCATGACCACACCTACTCTATAAATTTCTATCTAATTGGTATGTAAATTGTATTTGTCCTGAGTAGCATCTCACCTTGTTATAGGAGTAACTGAATGCCAAATTGCAGTGACTCCATTTGGAAACTGTTTTAGGGTCTGTACCTGAATACACTTCACAAAAACTCTGAATAATTTTTTTTCAATGTTTGTAGTCAGTGGTAATCAAGTCTAGGTGTCTATACTTATCGATTATTTATTCATCATTTTTGTTTTATGGTAATTTTCAATCCTTTTGTGGGGTTTAGTGGTTATCAGGGGATGGCAGCTGTCGAGGCTGTAGGGTCTTTTACAACCTCTCTCTGTTGTCCTCCTTGTTCAACTATAGCTTTCCTTCCTTTTATATTCAAACAATTGCATCTCTTGACCCAGTTGTTCTCTCCCATTCTCTTCACAAGCCCAAACCATCCATCTTGGGCTACCTATATGTAAAACCTTGCCAATATTCTCATACCCAGCAACCCTCTGAACTTTGAACAGGGTTTCATATCTTTCAGGGTTAGTTACTTACTAGCAAGGATTTATTTTAATTTTCTTCTGTTTTATTTGGTACAGTTATTTGAAAGTAAGAATTAATTTTTTATTCTTTAGTACCTTTTCTGGTTACAGTACAGTACCATATTAGTTTTCACTTATCAGCATTAAAATATCCACTAGGAATTGAAACATTCATGGCATAAATATACAATACAGTAATATAATCATATTACCTGCATTATTGATTATTAGTTATATGAAATTTTGGCCAGAGGAAACTGTTAAATCAATCTTTATGAGAATTAGTGCATATTTGTCCATGGCATACAGTACATTTGTTAGAAAATTTACATTTTGTGGAAATTCAAATTTTTTCATGAAGTTGTGGATGACTTCTGTGTTTGCTTGTACATAAGACCCCCAGTCTACATTGTATCACATTGAAATCCTCTAGATTCAAGTGGAATGCCCAAAATTTTGTAATTGTGGTACTTACTGAAAAGTTCTGATGTCCATATCTTATATTTTTAGAATTATAACCAGCCCCTAAATTAGAAAAAAGCATCTGATTATGAAACAATTTGACCTACAGTTACAAACCTGCATGTTAACACTTGACTAATAATTTTCATCTCATAGAATGTAAGATCGAATGAATGATGCTTTTCATCTCCTTAGTGAGGAAGGGAACTAAAGTGAGGTTAGTTATCAAAAGCTAAAACTTAAGTTAATGGGTCAATTTAATGTTAGTATGTTTAGAGTAAATCAGTCAGGCAAGAGATAATGGCAAATGTGTAAACATTGTACTGTATTCATGACCTGGTTTTGTGTGTCGACTCATATCCTTTCCTGGTGGTACGTCCTTGGCGACCACCACATAGTTTCACGTGTGTCCATTCCAGATGTTTCGCAAACGCATGTCCGGGATGAATCAAGGGTCCTTCGGGACCTGGCAACGGATCCCAAAACCCCGGTCCCAGACCACTTACCCGGCACGGGTCCCCAGTCCCGGAGGGACTGTGGGGCCCTTAGCTGAGGAACCGCCATGATTCTCGGGAGTGACTTGTCCCATGTAACGTTGAGAACCTGACCTGTATTGTACCATCTTCATCACTAGTGCCTCACCATCACCATCATTTTCATAATCACTTCTGTGATTCCCTCTAACTTGCAATGCCAACTTCGACTACTGCTCATCCATTTTGCATTAAATTTCTTAACCTGGAAGATTGTTCATGGTACAGTACTAATGAAATAAGCCCTTGTATTGTTTATGTGTGATATACAATGATCTAACCAAACAATTATTATCTTGTAAATACTGTACTGTACTTCAAAACAATGTGAAGCTTTGAATGAAAATGTAACATTAATTCCTTTAAGAATATCCCCGAAGACATGCCCTCCCTCAGTAAAGGTATATATTTTCATTGACAACTATTAAATTAAATTTTACAGGTATTTGAACTTTTGTTTTTCAAAGTTCAAAGGTTGTAGCAATTGTATGAAAGTTTACAGTAATATAAATGCACCATATTGTGTAGTAGTTTAGTTGATTTTTCTCTATGATCTATACACTCTCTGTACCTTTACATCATAATTTCTCATTTCATCACATTTTCATTTTCATAATGAGTAACTTATAAAAATATGGAAAATCTAAGGTTACAGTATATTTAATTGGTTTGAGCAAATTAAGTACAAACATCTCACTGGCTGATACATTTAACTTTGTTTCATTTGCAAATGCTCTTCTTATTTTTAGGTATTTTTTCACTGATAATTATGTGCTTTTCCATAAGAAGTGCATGGACTCATTTATACAGGCACACATTGTCAACTCAGAATTATACAAATTCATCAACAGAATTGAATGAAGATTATTGAATATATAGTTTTAAAGAGCATGTTGTCAAAGGAACTTCACTAATTGTACTGTTTATATTGTGAATGCATGCTTTGGGCACTTTTTTTTTTTTTTACTTTAAAATCAGACAGTGAGAAGTTACCAAGTTACCATTAATCCAAATACTGTGTATAAATAAAGAAAATTTGGAAAGCTCGTGTCTTTAAAAGGAAAAATGGGGAAAGGGAAGGAAATACCAAATAAATACATTATCAAATGGAACGGAGGTGTCAAGCAGGTAGTTGAACATTGAATAAATGGTATAATTTTCTCATGACAGATCGAGCTTCATATCAAGCCTAGGAGGTGCCGTTGCCTCGACGCCACTTGATGTTGTGCGAGTGAGTGTACAAAGAGTCTTGCATAATTTATAAGTGGAGACACTAAAGTCATGTTTACCTGTACAAATCAAGAATTTAATTGTCTTTATATTATTTAAATAGCTATTAGCCTTGTTATTGATGGCTATACAGAAGTTGATTGAAACCGCTTGTATTAGTTTTGTTCATGATGGATGTACATATACTGAATTTGGTTTATGTATGACTTACAGCATTTTCCATTTGTGCTTAAGAGTAAAAAGATAATCATTTTTACAGACAAGAGTGATGAACCAAAGGAAATTGAAATCTCCTGCACAAGTTAGTGGTAACGGGGCAGTGTGTACTTCAAGGATTTATTCAAGCACTCTGGACTGTTTAGTACAGGTAGGTATAATTTCATATTCTCCAGCCTCTTTATATGAGGCCGACATAAATCTAGGAACATTGTTTACTCCTTCGTCACACAGGTTTCTGCTGTTATGTGAATTTCATAGTTTAATTAAATGTCACAGGGAGCTAAAACAGTACTTCAGTATTGTTATATAAGGGTTAGTTTCAGGAAGATTGTTTCAGTGAGCTTTATGATCACATTACAGGGACCCACTTAGTAAATACTCAATTTCTCGCCTGGGGCAGATACTATAGTGTCCGAGTGATACCCAAGCTAAAAAATATTGGTCTAGTAGACAGTTTGAAGACAATTTATTGACTAATCTATTAACATACAGAGAGGCAGGGCATGTAACAAATTCACATTTTAGTGGTTCTTTTTTATTATTGTTTATTCCCCTGATAGTGTTCAAAAGCAGTCAATTTCATTTGTAATTATTCCTTCATTCAAGCATAATGTTGCTTGAAGAATTGAACCAAATATTGTATGACTAAAAACTTTTTCTTCAAAGCTAAGATTTTAAAATAACATTCAGGTTTAGTTGCCTAATGCATACAGGTATGGGACTATTTATCCTGCGTCCCGGTATATGGAACGCTCCAAAAACCGGCTATGTTCTGGAAGAAATTATTTAAATTAGCACCAAAAGTAATTCCTGGGCCAAGTGGGGATATTTTCAACCATTCCCCATAGTGAGCTGTATGTTAAGTTGTGGACTAATAGTTTTTTCAACTCGTAATTTGGGGTAGATTCTGTGTATCTTATTGTCTTCATTTTCTCTCCTTTCTTACATTCATACTCAATCATGCATACAAAAAGTAAAAAAAAAAATAATCATAAGGATTAAAGTATTTTGCAACTAAAAAATTTGGATTGATATGCATCCAGAAAGTGCAAAAAGAAATAATTAACATAAGGGATAAAGTTTTATGAATCTTCAGGTGGCGAGTGTGTAGAAATTGGAGGGTTGCTAAGGCGAGTGAGTATCGAGTGACTGTGATACATTGTGTGCACAAATCTTATCATTTTTGCTTTTTTATGCTTTCATTATTACTACTGTACTGTATACTATTTATATGTTTTTGATGTATATATGCCGATGATTTGAATTAAGTTTTAATGTAATGGCGTACATTTAAGCTACTTTCAACAAGGTACATAGGAGAAGTCGCACCATAACAGCCCCTTGAAAATCCTAGTTGGCAACTCTTTTTTTTTTTTGGCCCCGCCCTATTGGACATCTGGCTTCTAGAATACATAATTATGAGGTCTTTACATGCTGATTAAAGATCTGGGCTCAGAATAAAAAAAACATGGGTAATATGTGTTACTTAACAATCCTTTAAATAATTACACATTTAGAATATTTCAAATGTCATTATGCTGTGCCCAAGTTTTAAATTGAGTTAATATTTAAGCATGCGAGTTTTCACTTAACGGGAAAAAGTCATTAGTTGCCCTAAAAATACCCGACCCCTTACATTATGGCACATGAGGTCATGACAGATTTTGTTCAAATTTCATAGAGGTACTCTTTTACATGATTATGCGTCTTGGTTCAAAACTGGAACATTCAAGTAATTAGTGTTAATTAATGATCATTAAAATATTTAAACCTGTTCAGAATATTTAAAACCTCAATAAGTGTCCATAAGTTTTAAATCCCCTTTATATATATTTTCTTAAGACTAGCATTGAAGCATGTTAATTTTCACTTAATTGAGAAAAGTCATGACACTGTTATGTATGAATCAAGCCACCTCACATACCTGCCAACAATGATTATTGTCACTTGTCATGACTCGTACAACTCTCTATTATAATCCCATTCTCATTGCTGACGTTCTGGTAGAGATTCAATTACCCGGGATGATTTATACGTCCATGGTGTGGGTTTTCTTGTTTATTGCACACACAGTTAACCGCCAGCAATACAGCTTCCCAAAAATATATGTACAGTACTGTACAGACACAAACTTGTTTACTTATGGAATACAAGCGTCCAACAAAATAGAATTGTGGGAAGGCATTCAACATATAAAGTTATATAAAATGAATAGGTTGCATCATAGCATCCAATCCTACAGACAACATTCCTCTAATGGCAAACCAAGATATTTGAATATACAGTATTACAGACACCCTGAAAATGTCTGATCTTATTACCTTGTATTTCAGCCAGTTACAGAGGGTTTACCATGCATTTTTGGCCTGGCATTCCAAATTACAGAAAAAACCCTATCCAGGAATCCTGGATAAATGGTCTCATACCTGTAGACATTTTAGAGGCATTATTTAAAATGTCAATTATGCTAGGCTTCCGTTGTATACTTTGAGTGAATAGCTTAGTTTATGTACACCACTACCCCTAAGGTTGCAAACTACACACAGCAATGGAAAACTAACTAGCCATTGACAATAAAAATACTTAAAATAATGTTTTTATTTTTTATTTATTTAAAGTTTGGTGCCCTGAAAGTGTGTGGGGGGGGGTGTCATGATTGGCTGCACACACACTGAATACTCCTTAATGTCCCAATTAGTATGTGTGTAAAGTTTCAGTTCTGTAACTGCATCTGTTTTGGAGCTATGGCTGGAACGGAGACAGACGTGACCTTTTATTATTATAGTTGTTTCATAACTGGATAAGTTGTTGGTTGGATGTAATCAAACACATTTTCCATGGTAGCATGTGTGAATCATTGAACCGATGGTTTGTTAACTAAATGCAAGATATAGAATGTAATTTTTTTTTTCTTTCTCCAGACAGTAAAAGCAGAGGGACCCTTAGCCCTGTACAAGGGCTTCATCCCTACATGGCTCAGACTTGGGCCATGGAACATAATCTTCTTTGTTACCTTTGAGCAACTGAAGAAGTTTTATTAAGTTTATCCGTGCTGTACGTCATCTTCTGAATTCAGCTTAATTGACGAACTCATCTGTCTATTCAGAAGATCACCTCAGCATCAAGATCTACCAGGCATTTAATCAGTACTGCATTAAAGGTCCTGTAAAAATTTTCATATTCTTACTGTTTTAAATATAAAATTTTTCGTGATACATGGGACTTCCCAATATTTTTTTCCCCAAATCTAATAAGATTTGATAATCATCACAAATGAATGTTGATATTTGTGAAAAGGAAAAATGTAATGATAAGCAAAGTGCTCCAGTTGGGAAGGCCTTTATTTCCTTACTCTTTTTTTTTTTTTTTTTTTACCTTGGGGCTCAGAGCTGGTTCTTCACATTTATCAAGTTCTTGACAATCTTGGAAGAAACCAACCTGAGAGGATCTCATATTGTTCATGAAGTAAGTCCTATTTCACTTCCATTTGTATATGATGCATTGAGTCATCATCATTTGTGTTTAGTATTATTCTTTGTTATAACCAAAAGTATAAGATGTCAAAAATTTCTGGCATGACCTGTTCATCATTCCTGCAGTGAAAATATTCCATCAGGCTTGAATAAATGCATAATGCATTAATGTGATGAAAGAAATTGTGTAAATTTAGGGATAAAGTGTATATAAAACTAGTTTGATGAAATGAATTGTCAAATTCACAAACAATTGAGTATTTCATATATTACAGTTGTTGTTCTTGGACTATGTGTGGCAATGCCATTTTGAAACCAAAGATCTTGGTGGAGATTAAAGTGGCAGTTATTATATTGTCAACTGTATTTTTTTTAGACAGTGAGCATGGAAATATTTATTACTTGTCAAGTTTTATAGTTATTACACTTAGTACAGTAAATGTATTTTAGTCTTTAAATTTGGCTTATCAATTTTTACATCTTTGAAGTACTCATACTAAAAAAGAATCATTGGCTGTAGAAAGTAAAATGTAGCTCACTCCTAAACTCTGCCATAATTGACTGCAGTTGACAGCATCTCTTACATGATGCTGAAATGATCTATTTTTGTAAGGTGTGGGTGACCTCAAATGCAGATATGGTGCAGTGATTTATTGTGGTACGTAAGCAATTTAATCTTGCAAAAAAGATCTGCCAATAAATATTTACCCAAATTTCAATCTAAAGTTTGAATGTTGTACTTGTGATCTTTAAATATGTAAGACTGTTTGAAATTTGAATGTGAAGTTTGGGGGTTTCCAGTTCTGCCATGTTAAAACATATAAAGACCAGTTTCCTTAAATACATACTGTACTTGTTTGGGAATGAATGAGAGTAGAAAGGTGCAAGTGATACTGAATAACTTATTCTTCCAAATAAAATTTACAAACCTGAAAGCTGTATTCTATTACCTTGAATTTTCACTCCTTTTAACTACTCCACATGGATATCAAGGTCTTTGTTGGTTTGAACATAGTATGCACAGCATAATTGACATCTTAAATATTCAAAATGCATTTAATTATTTGAAGGGTTATTAATTAACACTAATTGCTTGAATCCATGGTGCCTATTGGACTGAAGGTAACCATCAACCTCCTACCCAGAGGTGTTCCAAGTGTCACCACTGGGGCCCTGTGGCCCAAGTATGCACCTCTAACAAGCCGTGGTGTGGTCTCTGCCCACGACAACATGCAACACACAGTTACTCAAAGGGGAACCATTCAACAGAGGTAATAACTGCAAAACAGTTTCTGTATGGCACCCTGGCTGTCCTAGAGCTCCTACACCTCCTCAGAACCCAGACCCGCCACCAAGTCAGGTCACAAGAAACACTGCTGCTGCTAGGGAATAACCTATGGCCTACCCTCCCCACCAAAGCTCCAGGGTCATCACCAGCAGTTAAAGCAAGATCTGCATGGGGCAACACAGATGTATGGACTCTACAGGTAGCTGCCAACATGCACAAAATGAAGAGATCAATGATTTGAAAAATTAAATTAAAGAACTCAAAGGTGAATTTGCAGTTCAAACTGAAAAGAAGTGTCTAGCGTAGGAGGGATGAACTCGCCAGTCCCCCAAAATCCGTTTTCTATGGTTTCATTGTATTATGCACACCTACTACACAAAAATTATCAATATAGAACATAACTGAGGCAATTCTATCGATATTCCATGGCGCTGTGTGATTTCACAGCTCTAAAACTTTGACGTGCGTTTACTCAAAACCATGATTTGGTGAGTTCGTCATTCCTACTCTAGACGCCTCATATGTTAAAGAGCCTCTGCAATGCAATACAGAAACCGCACCACCAGCACAAAAGCAGCAGCAATGGAAAGATTACAATCAAATTGAAAACATTCAAATGTCAGTACCAGATGTGAAAACTCAAGATCCACTAGGAACTCTTTGTCCACGCAGAGGAAAACAATGATACTGGTAACTGTTTTACTGATGCCTCTGGACATAAGCATTGAAGAAGAACAAGCAGAAACAGAAAATGGTAGTAATGTCGAGTGTAACCAAAGTGTGTTAATGTCTGCCACTGAAACAGAACAACTGGTGAGGAGTACATGCTCCAGAAATGTTTCTTAAAAAGTTAAAAAGCTTCCTGCCTGTAGAGGGACAGGCAGCAAGGAAAGAAAGCATCATACAGTGCCTTCAGCTTCTTTCCAAATAATGGCCAGTATTAATACCAGACAAAGATAGAGGTGAAGGTGATGAGTTGGACATAGATATTGTGGGCCTGCAAGAGTCTCACACCTAATGGTACGCCCCACCCAGTCTGCCCCAATTATGTGCATTTTGATACTAGTTTTACTCACACATGTTTGATGTATGTTAAGAAGTCACTACCATGGTATCATTATTCACTTGGGTAACTCACCATGCTAAATGCATTTGCTCCATCAGATCAGCTTCAATACACAGATCTCTCAGACTTTGTACACATTGAACCCACTGTCCTAATTGGTGACCTGAATACTAGACAAGAAATTAGGTGACCCCACCACTAAAACCAATGGTAGGAGACATTGCATTTCTCAGCACACATGAAGCTGCTCAAATTATAGGTAATATTGAACCAAGACACACACACACACACACACACATATGGCAGGGCTCTTAGACTAGTGTATTGGCTTTAATCTATCATACACAACTCATTGCTCTGATGTTGTCACTAATCTTATACCCAATCCAAGATAGTATACATGTTGCCAATGCCACCCCCACTGGCGGAAAACTCAACAGAAGTAGATTCGCAGTCAAGCACGAACATGAAAACCATTTCATAGAATTCATTCATGACTGGTACAAGGATTACAAGCCTGACAACTACTAAAGTCTCCATGACAATCTGATAGATAGGATTTATACATACTTCACCAACAATGCCTCCACCGAAAAATGGAAAAAATGTGATTAGCATCATAAGAAAATAAGGAGTCTGCAATAGGCTGGATGACCTGTGCATGGCAGCTCTTGTCGAGAGTTACAACCACACACTATCATCCATGAATCTATCTAGCCTCCTTTTAAAACTTTCCAGCATTCCAGCACTTACTACAAAGTTGCTAAGCTTGTTCCACTCGTCCACCACCCTATTTGTGAACCAGTTCCCCCCTATCTTCCTCCTAAACCTAAACTTATCCAACTTAAATCCGTTGCTTCGAGTCCTATCCTGCTCGGATATTATAAGAACTTTATCTAAATCTCCTTTATTGATTCCTTTCACCCACTTAAATACTTCCATCATATCTCCCCACACTCTTAATCTTTCTAGGGAATGCATGTTTAGTTTCTTTAATCTATCTTGATATGGAAGGTTTCTAAGTCCCAAAATCATTTTCGTCATTCTTCGCTGCACTGACTCCAGTGAATTGATATCCATTCAATGGAAGCAGGCAACACAGCAGTGCTATAATGACCCCAAACTGACAAAACTCAGGGCTAGAGTTAGGAGGGTGTCATCAAGGAATGTGTAGATGAACTCAGACAAATGCATGGGAAACCTAAGTCAACAGCCTGAACCAACACAATTCCCTCAGCAAAGCTTGGAAAGCTAAAAACAGTAGACATGTCTCCCATCCAAACGCGCTGCAAAAATTGAATGAGCTAATAACAAAGTGAGCTCTTGTCTCTAGCTATGACATGTTACCAACAAGGACTTGAGAACTACTTGATGCAAAGTCTGTAGAGAGAAGTAATCTCATTAACTTTATGCTGGACAAACAGCACAATGAGTGTGATGTTCCATATACTGAATGGGAGCTTGAAGCCACCCTCACTTCTAAGGTGTGTGCTGGGCAATCCATTATTGGCATTGTACAATATGAGTCCTGCCAAAGACCAACTACCCAGATCATGGACCAACAGTATTGTTGTACTGTACCAATACCGAAACCAGGCCAGCCTGATACATTTTGTCCCATATCACTAAGCAGCTGCCTGTGTAAAACCTTTGAGAGGATGGTTCTTGGCAGATTTTTATATAATCAGAGAACATGTCTTCTAACGTAAGTGGCTTCACCCATGGTAAAAGTCTACATAATTGCATTACCACATTCCTAACTGTGCATGGGGATGAAAGGCACAGATACATCACATTTCTTGACCTAAAAGCTGCATTTGATATTACCAATAGGCAACTTATATTGTATGAACTCGCCAAAATGGATATAGGAGGTCGGCTGTTACACTGGGTAAGTAGTTACCTCACTAACAGAAGGGCTGCAGCACTGTTTCAGGGTTACAAAAGAAGTTAAAGATATGCAACTTGGAATCCCCACGGTGGAATACTTAGTCCCACTTTGTTGCATTATTAAATTCAATACCAGACAACCTCAGCAATATCACAATCAGCTATGCCGATGATATTCTTGTACCTGTACATACTAAAACTTATCGTGAAATGCAAACCATCCTGAACAATGTACAAACAACCTATGAGGACCTCGGTCTTATTATCTCCACTGAGAAAACTAAGGTGTTTAACAAACAAGTTGGTCACCGCAAAGGTGGCCCCGTCAAGTTCAAGAGAGGTATCTTGGTGTCTCCGTTCCTTGTACCTTACCTGCCATACAACAGCTAACCCGCCAATGTATTGACAGACGGAAATGTTTTAGAAGTGGAGAGGGGTACAGCCTACATTATGGTGCTATATTAGAATTGTTAAAACAATTCACCTAGGCTATATAAGACCTCTGGAAGATTATCATGCACCAGCCCTGGTCCTTCATGACAGAAAAGGCATTGACAAGCTCGAAGAAATGTAAAACAAAGCCCTCAGAATTATCCAAGGCTGTCCCATGAGCACTAAAGTACTTAATACAGGTTGTACCTCTCTAGTCCGGCAACCTCGGGACCTGACCGGTGCCGGACCATGGAAATTTCCAGACCATGGAAATTCACCCTTTTCCTGGATAGATAGTGACTGTGCTTATGCTTGGAAGCACTAGCACCACTTTCTCTGCTTCATGGTCTCTTTGAAGACATATTGAAGGGTTAAATGTCGTACAGTAGCTTCTCAAATTTCGCGAGTTTTTAATTCGACGTTTTTTATTTGAACACAAAAAACAAAATTTAAAATTTTGACGGCGGAAACTCGAATTTCAACGGGTTTGAACGGCCCGCCAACGTTCAGACGACGTGCACAATCATGTAAACAGCGTCATTTCTCGTATGTACAAAAGATTCATTATTGTTTATTACTGAATGTCTTTTTTATTGAATTAATGTTTATGTGTGCAAAATGGGCAATACAATTCATTAATAATACGTAGAATATTAAAACACACAAGGAAATGAGACAGCATTGTTTTCGTTGATTACAAAACCAGTGACTGACTGGTTCTACATATAAAACAAGAAAATAAGACCCTGGTTGTAGCTGTCGTAAAATTAATGTGGTTGTTTTAAGTAATGTTATTTAATGTTAATAAATGGAACAATAGAAGTAGCTAACGATAATGGTAAAGAAAAAAAAGAGAGATCGCGTATGTAAGTGCGCACATGTGTAAACATATCGTCATTACTCTATACAGTGTAGTGGATTTCTCCCCTACAAACGCTGTTTGTCGCTGCCTAGCCGACCCCACCAATTCCCCAGTGTATGCCTCGTGGTCTGGGTCAACCAGCGCCGCCATACATCACGGAGCGGGGGTCAACTGCTAAGCCACGCCTACCCCCGCTATTTAAGACCTGACCTCGTGGTGATCTCTCTCTTTCTACCTACAGCCGCAGCCAGCAACACCTCCTCCTCCGCCGCTGCCTGGCGGCCCTCGCTCCTCCTCCGCCTGCCTGGCGGTCCTCGCTCCCGCCTGCGAGCATGGCGACCCACAAGCTGTCCTCCTCTGAGCGTCCTCGCCAACCAGCTCTCTCTACATCACGCTT